TATTTATTATAATCAAGTAGGATTCACTTTAGTGATAAAAGTGTGGTTCAGGACATGGAAATAAAAAATATGATACAACATGTCAACAGGATGGACAAAAATATATTATTTCAGTAGACACAGGAAAAGCATTTGATAAAATTCAACATTTTTTTCGTGACAAAAAATGAACAAAGTAGATAAAGAAAGACTATACTTCAGCAACATAAAGGGCTGCAGAGTAAGCCTATAGTTGAAGCATATTAAATAGGGAAATTATGAAAGCTTTCTCTCTAAGATCTAGAACAATACAAGTTTGTCTGGAGTGTCAACTTAACACAAGCTAGAGTCATCAGAGGAAGGAGCCTCAGTTGAAGAAATGCCTCCATGAAATCCAGCTGTAAAGCATTTTCTCATTTAGTGACCAATGGGGGAGGGCCCAGCCCATGGTGGGTGGTACCATTCCTGGGCTGCTAGTCCTGGGTTCTATAAGAAAGCAGGCTGAGCAAGTCATGGGAAACAAGCCAGTAAGCAGCTCCCCTCCTCAGCCTCTGCATCAGCTCTTGTCTGTGGGATCCTGCCCTGTTTGAGTTCCTGTCCTGACTTCCTTCAATGATGAACAGCAACACTGAAGTGTAAACCTAATAAACCTTTCCTCCCCAACATGCGTTTTGTTCATGTGTTTTGTTGCAGTAATGGAAACTCTAAGACCACAAGGGTGCTCACTTTGGTCATTTACATTCAGCATAATTCTAGAAATCCTACTCAGAGCCGTCAGGCCAGAGGAAGAATCAAAGGTCACTCAAATTGGAAAGGGGAAATGTGCTAGTTAATGTCTGTCAACTTGACCCGAGCTAATGTCATCTGGAAAGAGGGAACCTCAATTGAAAAAAAAATGCCTCTATTAGATTGCCTGTTGTCATGTCTATGGGAGCATTGTCTTGATTTATGATTGATCTGGGACACCCAGCCCACTGTGAGAGGTGCTACCTGTGGGCAAGTGGTCCTGAGTTATAGAAAAAAGCAGAACAAGCAATGGAGACTAAGGTAGGAAGCAGCATTCCTCCATAGCCTCTGCTTCAGTTCCTGCCTCCAAGTTCTTGTCTTGGCTTATCTCGGTGTGAGTTGTAAGGTAGAAGATGACAGAAACCCTTTGCTCCCCAAGTTGCTTTTGGTCATGGTGTTTATCAGTAGGAAAGTAAGTCAAATTGTTACTGTTTAGAGACAACCTGATCTTATATGTAGAAAACCCAAGACACCACCAGGAAACGATTTGAAACACTAAATGAATTTAGCAGTGACTCAGGACACAAAGCTGTCATACAAAAATCAGAATCCTTTTTATAAACCAGAAGCAGATAATCTGACTAGCCAAGAGAGTAATTCAGTGTTTAAGAGCTGCAAAAGATGATGCACAACGCATTTATTCGGGAAGGTAAAAGTTCATCATGAGAAAACTGTTGTGATAAAGAAACTGAAGAGGACACCCACACCCACAGGCAGAATGGCAGAATGGCTTTTGTGTCAGAAGAAGAAATACTGCGAAAATATCCACACGAGCTAGAATGATCAAAACTGCGGGATACTGGCCTGCAAACAGACATGAAGTCTCTGGAAGTGAACTCAGTCATGCACTGCCAACTGAGTTTTGGCAAAGGCGCTAAGACCAGGCATTGGAAAAGGAGTGTCCTCAATAAACTGTGCTGGGAAAACTAGATGTTCATAAGGAGAAAGATAAAACTAGACCTGTATTTTCACCCATATTAAAAAAAATCAGTTTAAAATGGTTAAATACTTGGTGCTAATGAACTATAAAGCAACTAGACCAAAAAAAAAAAAATAGAGGTCATGCCTCAAGACATTGGAATGGGAAGGATTTACTTGAATAAGATCTCAGAAGCACAGGTGTCAAGCAGGACTAGACACATGGGGTTGCATACAATTAGAGAGCTTCTACACAGCAGGCATCAGAGTGAAGGAACTACCTACAAGTGGCTGAAAATGTTACACACATTCTCTCTCTGAGCTAATATACAGCGTTTGTGAGGTACTGAAAAAACCAAAACATTAAAGGCAAAAACAAGCCCAGACCCCAGTAAAATGGATGATAGATATCAATGGACATCCTTCAAGAGGAGAGATGCAAACACTTAACATGTTTATGGGAAAACTGCACTCCTTTGCATCCTGCAACGTTATTCATCACAGCCAAGACAGAGGAACTATGTGACACTGTACCCATTTTTTTTTTCTCCCAGACAGGGTTTCTCTGTGTAGCTTTGCACCTATCCTGGATCTCGCTCTGTAGCCCAGGCTGGCCTCAAACTCATAAAGATCCACCTGCCTCTGCCTCCCAAGTGCTGGGGTTAAAGGCGTGCACCACCACCACCGCCTGGCTCACTATAACAAGTCTTCCAGCATCTCAAAAGTAAAGATCATCTTCCATTCAACAAGGTTTCTATGATAAATACTGACTGTTATAACTGATTCATTGAAAGCCAAAAGATACTTTTTATCTTAATAGAATAAAAAATTTGGGATGGATTACCGGTCAATTGCAGATTAGCAACTACTATGGTTTAGTCAATGTACACCTCATGGTAACTGACATTTCTGCCATGTCTTACACAAGGCTGGGCAGTTTAATAATGGTGGCCAGTGTGATCGCCTACTAAACTATTGGAAAACAAATGGGAAAATATCACACCACAGGCAATGTTAATCCACCCAGCAGGCAAAAACAAGAAAATGGAGCCCAGGTCTAGACTCCTCCAGCGTTACTCAATCAAGGCAAATTATTTATTGTCTTCTGCCTAGGAAGTCCCACAGGGCATGAAATATTGATTTAGGTGTTTGCAGGGCATGGATGACTGTGCTACTCTTCTTAATATATGATGAATTGTTTCTGTGTGTGCTGTGATGAGGTTGAGAAGCAAATTGAACATGGTTATTTAATAAACATGAAATATAAACACTAAACCCTATTCCCAATTACTAATGTGGGGTCATGAAAGTTCATTGGATGGTGTATGGGCACTGCTCACATCAGAGCCTAGCTACAGGCTTCTCTCTACCTCAGGCATAAACTTTGCTGCATTCCATATGACCTATTCTAATCTTCCTGTGAGTGGGACAAGTGGGGTGGAGAGCCTGTGTGTTCTTCATGGCTCACCTGTGATTCAAAGCCAGGAAGTTGGAGGCGCTGGGTGCCAGAGGAGAACATAGAGTAGGCTGCAAAGGAGAGGAGCCAACACGAGTCCTGGTCTGAGTGGAAGAGCAGTTTGGTGAGATGCTGAAGGAAAGGCAAGAACAAAGGATGCGTCATGGGCTTGTTTCATCAGCTGAGAATCTTGGCTCTACACCTTCCGAAACATCCGTGTAATTCTCAGTACTAAAGTCATGCGATCTGGCACCCTCTTCTGTATACATAATAAATAAATACATCTTTTTTTTTTTTTAAAGTGAGGATCACTCATCAATGACGGGCGTTTGTATTTGCTCGACTCTACTACTTCTTGTGGAAGATACACAGAACAATGCCTGTGAGCCCACTTCACTGGGAACAGAGACAATATTGGCAACATAGTTAATAGCTGGAGACAGTCCCTGAAGACACACTTTGTGATCCCAACTCCAGCCTTGCCTCAATGGGGTACTCGATGGATTTTTCTTTGGCTTTTATGACAAAAAAATTGATTCTGTTTGGATTACTTAAATCAGTCTGCTGGATTTGCAACCAAACTAGACTGTCTACTGTGCAATTTTTTTTTCAAGTTGACTCAGTTTATATGACCCTCTTTGTGGCCATTGACCTTATATAAGGTGCTTACACAGAACACAGCCAAAGTATATTAAATGTATAAAAGAGTTTACAATGATCAGAACTCCCAAATTCAGTAACTTAAGACTCCCATCATCCATACCATCTCAACCAATTCAAGTTCAGTTTAAGTTGACATCCCGGCAATTCGGGGAGAAAATGATGGATCTCTTGGGCGTCTTGTAGGGTGCACCGAACCGCTTTGAAAACTGCCAGGAGACAGTAGAGATTTAGTGAGGAGGACCTGTGTTCTTTTCACTATAGCAACCCATGGCCTGCTCAGTCTCCCATTGCTAATCTGCTTTTGTTTTTGAACCTTTCAGTGCTGGGGATCAAATCCAGGGCCTTACACCCTGGAGGGAAAAACTCTACCATAGAGCCACTCCCAGGGGCCGGAGCACCCTTCCTCTGCAAAGGTGTGTGTGGGGGGGGGGGGGCGGGGGGAGCATTTTCCTTCCAGCTCAAAGGAGCTGTTTATGTGAGAATTAAGGATACAGATGTTACTTGCCGATCTGCCCCGCCCCCACCCCCCATCCCTTGTGTTCAGGTGTTCAAGGATACACACCAGCGATATCATGAGTCAAGGGTGTTATTTCTTTTCCGAGTCAAACGCACAATGGGAGTCACCTTTCAATAGGAAAAATGTTTACTTTTACACACTATCATTTGGACTTTGGGTGTGATCTTTGGTGCAACATTGGGCGTCTGCACCATGTCCTTAAAGTTCCTTTCAGCTCAGCTCTCTTGGGGCTCCAGAGGTAGCTTCAAAGCTCTTCCCTCAGGCGGTCCCCACCTCTCCATTCCTGAAAGCTACCACTCTGGTTATTTTAGAAGGCGTGGCAAGAAGCACCTGCTCCGCAGCTCCCCTTGAACCTTGCTCCAACTCTCATTCTAAGGGAGTTGTTGGTTGCTCTGCCATTTCCTATCTCTTCCAAGTGTGCTTTATGAGATCCGGTTTCCATTCCCCTGTGGTCGCTCCCAGATCCCGTTACAATTCCCCCGGAGCTGCTCCGCGTGTAGGAGTGAGGGAGGGAGGGCGGGAGAGAACCAAGTGCTGGCACTAGGCTCCCCAAGGTTCAGTTACCCCGGGGTGGGTGGGTCCCGAGCCCGGTGCGAAGCGGGCGGAGGAGTGCTCTGTGACCCGGCAGCGCCGCGGCCCCTTTAAGAGCCGGGCCCAGGCTGGCCCGCGGGCCGCGGGGAGGGAGCCCAGTGCGCCGCGCGCGTCGGAGGAGTTGGGAGCCGGCGCAAAAGTTTCCTCCCAACTCCGGCCCCGCGCGCCGCCGCCGCCGCCCACTCCAGCCCGGGGCCTGGGGCCGGCCCTGCCACGGTCGCCAGGGCCACCGCCAGAGGCAGGGCCGGGGCCGGGCCGGGCGGCGCCCGCAGTTTCACTTTGGCGCGTGGAGCCTCCGCCGGCGCCCGGCCGACCCGCCGCGTCCCCGGGTCCGCTTGCTTCCCGCCCTCGGCCTCCCGTGGGGACGGCTGTCCCCGGTCCCCTCCCGCTCCCCCACCCCCGGGGGGTTGCAGCCGCGCGGGACCCGGCCCCGGAGCCACGCGCGGGACAGCGGCGTGTCCGCCCCACCGCCCTCCCCTCCCCACCCCCGACGGAGGGGCTGCGCCCGGGTAGAGGAGGGATCAGACACCTGTTCGGCCCCCGGCCCCGGCGCGCGGGAGCCCAGGGGCAGGATGAAAGTGACAGTGTGCTTCGGCAGGACCGGCATCGTGGTGCCCTGCAAGGACGGCCAGCTGCGCGTCCGCGAGCTCACCCAGCAGGCGCTGCAGCGCTACCTGAAGACCCGGGACCAGGTGAGGGGCGCTGCCGGGGGCGGGTGGCGGGAGAGCGGGGCGCGACAGTGCCGGGGCTCAGCAAGTGCCCTAGGCCACGCACCTGCCCGGCGCCCTGGACCAAGTGGCGCTCTTTATGGAACTCAGAGATCACCCCAGCGGTTGGGTGAGCGCTGCCTGCGGCCACAACTTTTGCAGGCTGGCTAATGCCAGGGACCCGAAGTAGCCCTGCCTCGCCACTCAGAGCCCTGGGAGGAATGGAGGCTCCCCCAATCCCTCACTTGGGGGTCCTTACACCTTGGCCATCTGAGGCCTACTTCCTAGTCCACACAGCCAGGCTGTTTTCTAAGACAGCACCAGGTGTTTGAGTAGCAGGGCACTGGGACCTCCTTGCAGGGGACCCTGTGATGTAAGCGGTGCTGCTCACCTGAAGTGTGATTTCTGACCCACTAAGTCCCGCCCCAGTGAGGCACCTTGGAGTTAGAGCGTTGATTGGCTCAAGAATCACCTCCAAAGTTAGAGAGCTATTGGCGCTTTGCTTTTGGAGTTCTCAGGATGGTGGTAGGTCACCCCGTGACCTGGGCAGGAGCTCAGGTGGGATGCTGCTTGCTTATCGTAGCTAGTGCACCAGGGTGTTTTCTGCTCACTTTCTATGAGCTATGGACTGAGTCGGGACCTGGGTTACTACCAAAATAAGAAGGATGACCCCACAGTTCTGCTGCCCAAGTTAGGAACAAGTGGAAGTCAAGAACTAACGTACAAAGTGGCAGGACTCGAACTCTTGTCAAGTGTCTGCGTGACGTATGGGGCTTCTCTGTTTTCTTCTGTGGAAACTTTATATGAATGCTCTGAAAAGCACCTTTAAATTTTTCAATTTTTTGTTTGTTTGTTTGTGAGACAGGGTTTCTCTGCTTTAACAGCCCTCGCTGCCCTGAAACACGATTTGTAGTTCAGGCTGGCCTGGAACTCACTAGATCCACCTGCCGCTGCCTCCTGAGTGCTAGGATTAAGGACATGCGTTACTACCACCAGGCTTAGGTTTGTTTTTGTTTTTTTTTTTCAATTTTTACATGGCCTGTCGTGTACGTTTCAACGACGTCTCAAACAGATAAGCCACAAACTCTTGTTTTAGGAGACAATAATTCTTTTAATATTTGTTTGCATAATATTGCAAACTACAGTCAACAAGTTGGTCCATCTTGAGATGAAAAATTAATTTTCATTTATTTTGATGTCATCGGTCATCCAAAGTACAGAAATCATTTTTTTCCAAGTACATAGTTTTAAAATGAAAATTATACATATTTATTTAATGTGTTTATGGAGGGTGCACATATACCGTTGTGCATGTGTGGAGGTCGAGAGAACTTGCCCAGCTTGGTTCCCTCCTCCTGTGTGGATGGGGATCAGCATAGGCCTTCAAGCTCAGTGGTCAGAGCCCCACTCTCTGACTCATCTCGCCTCCCCCAAGAATTTCATTTAGAGATTAAAGGAATACGTATAATTTCTGTGCTTCCCCTAAGAATTGGTGTACAGAAGACAGACATCTGATGGATACATGCACATATTGTTCTGAATGGTCAAGAATTGGAGACCAGAGGCTAGAGAGCTGGCTGAGCAATTGGGAGTGCATACTGTCTATGTAGAGGACCAGAGTACAGTTGCCAGCACCCATATTTGATGGCTCACGACTATCTGTAAATCTGCACTCATGTGTGTGTGTGTGTGTACACCACCACCCCCTGCCCCATATACACTCAAAGGAATTGGAAGAGAACAGAGTGAAAAGCCTTAAAAAGTCACCTACAGTCCCTAACACTGTATTCTTTACCATAGAATTGAAGCAGCAGAAAAGTTTAATGGGCGTGTAAAGCGGTGTATGATTCTAACCCATTGAGGGTTTTGTTTTGTTTGACTTTGTGCTGTTGCTGCATCGGTGTACCGTTTGTATCACGTAATTCGGTTAAGAATTGAGATTTGACCAAGTAAACGATTATCTTTGAAATCATATTTCACTGGCTTTTGAAAATTGACTAAGGTTAGCAGTAACAATGTAATCTACACAGATTATTAAAGTTGATTTCATGGAAGAATTGTTTACTGAGGTGATAAATTTATCATGATAAAAATAAGGTATGTCCTCAAATCTTATACATTTAGAAGTGTACTATAAATTTAGACATATATTGTCCAGAGGTAAGCTACAAGCGTGTAAATAATCATTACAAAATAACCACTGATCTTTAATGGATTGTAGTTAGATCTTCAAAGGTGTTAAAAAGCTAGGGCTACTCTGAACTGGAAGCATAATTTATATCACAGAACTCAATGTAACTGCATCGATCAGGTTACAGTTATTACCAGACATTCCATTTTTCTATGTTTGCATTTGTATATTAGTGAATGTGACATTTAAAGGTCACCCAAAGCTTATGAAATCTCTCTTTCATTTTGAATTTTAAAATTTCAATTTATGTGGAAAATGATGTTTTCCCCTTCCCTAAATATTCTTCTCCTCTACTTTCATTTTAGGGATATTATAAGCATAAGACTTAACTAATAATTAGTGTTCCTAATGTAACTTGAAATGTCATGAAATACTCTAAAAAAATCCCATGCTTTATTCCATTGAATTAAAAAAAAAATAATGGAGGAAGACCAGAAATGTCAAAATTCAATTTGTACAACTTGGAATGAATTCACTTTCTATAAACCAGGCAGAGAGATTCAAAAGGCTTGTTTTTCTGGATAGCAAACCCTGTGCCCAATAATAATGATAGCTAACAGGTACTATGCTTACTCTGTGTTAGGAGCTTCCCATGTGCCATGTGACTTCTCTCTCACAACATCAAGAGTTAGATTTCCCTATTTTACCAATTGATATGCATGGTATAGAGATTATTAGTGAATTGTAGCATTGTGCTTGAACCCGGGGACTGTGTTTTTTTGGTCCTTGCTCTTAGCCATTAACCACATAGCCTCCTTCCTACATTGCTGTCTTTTTCAGTTTGTTTTCAAAGACTTTCTTTGTTAGCGGCAATAACAACACATGAAGATAGCATCATTCTGTTTTCTGTATACAGCAGGAGGTTTCATGCATGTTAACGGAGTGCTGTACCATTGAGCTATCCCTAGCTGCAGCCTGGTAGTCACATTCCTCTTCGCTGTATCTTTTACGATACGAGTGCACGTGTTATAGGGAGAAGTTCCATTTCCAAAGCAAATACTGCTGCAGAGCATCTCTGAAAGATGTTCCTCAGCCTAATGATAAACAAGCCAAAAACTGGGTAAGCTACTTCACACGTGGGAGATGCAGTGAGACAGAAACTTGGTGGGAACATGAACGTAAGATATCTGTTTCCCCCAGAGTCCTGAAGGATCAAGATTGGAGAAAAGTTTCAAGAGTGAGGATGGAAGTTGTCATTTTGAAGGGCTAAAGGGTGAGGGAATCCCAAGGAGGCCCTTCTAGATTTTGTACCCAGCCTTAGAGAAGGGACACCACCCGCTGAGCATAAGCAAAGAGCCAGAATTTGTGGTATGTTGGAACCAGCTGAGTCAACATAAGATAAGGCTAGAAGTAGGTGAGATGCTGGAGAAACAGGAGGAGCTTTGGGGAAGGCTTTAATTATGCTCTGAACTCAGAGACTTGGAATTGCCCATTTCTATTGGATGAATTCAACTTGGAAGGTGAGTTGATGGAAGGGCTAGAATTATGGGGTTCTTATCTTTGGATCCTGGTACTATATCAGTGTCTTGGGCACTAAATCCAATTTAGTGAAGTAGTTAGTAAAGGTGATTGTCTCCTTAAGCAGTCAAGGTGTGGATCACTGAGTAATTAGTTAAATTTATCATCAAAATTACATGTCACAGGTGAATGGATAATTGAACCGTATCCTGCAGGGCTGTCAACTCTGGCTGAGTATCACCTCTGACTTTGACATTTAGCATTTCAAACAGTACATGTGCCTGAATCCCTTTTGTCAAGATTTTGATCAAGTGAGTATGGTGTGGACCTTGGGCACAGGTATATGAAGAGCACTCCACAGATTCCAGTGCCCAACCAGGTCAATGACTAATCTATCACTAATCTCTTGGTATTGGTGAAATTAACTTGATTGTTAAACTTGTTTGATGGCAGACACTGTGTTACAGATGTCTACAGATAAACTTTAATTATGGCCAGGCAACTTTTCTTCTCTTTCCACCCAGAATCAATTCTAATAGAAGGCACTCAAGTTATTTATTACTCTGAACATATATGCATATACTTGATGAGTTGAATGAATTGAAGTCTAGAAAATAGAAAAGGCAGGGAAAGTAGTGTGTTGGGAGTTGAATGAAATAGTTGGATACTGGGCATGATGGGATTTTTTTTAAAGTTGACATATAAATCTCACTGCATATATGAGTAACCTTGTAAGTCAAGGAAACTTCAGTAGGTTTTTTCAAAATGAATTTTCTTTTTCTGTATGTAGACATCTTGAATAATTTGTTCTCCAAGTTAACATTTTTCTCAGAGCTAGAAATAGGTAAGAGTAACTTCATCTTCTGATTACTTGTGGCATCAGGATCTAAATGAATCTATACAATAATGAGATCTGCAGTGACACTGTGTGACCAGCCTAGAGGAATAGCTAGAACTCTTGAATTTCTGAACTTTTCAGCCTTTGGTGCCCTTTGGCCTGAGTTGATCTTGTGGTTCTTGGATACACAGATTAGTCTCAGCCTGAATTTGTAAAGCACTCTTCGGTTTGCTGGGTCTGATTTACCTGTGGCCTTTAACTTCTGTTCGGTTCTCTACTTCTCAAACCTGCAGACTGGGTGCTCTTGAAGCTGAGTCATCGTCAGCAAGGCACTGCTCTAATTTAGTTGGGGTCCTGCCATTGGGCTGTGGCAGGTCTTCTTAGAGTTCTCTTTGCTTATTGTGTGAGAGTTTTGAGAGTTCATGTACAATTCCAGATTTCTGTCTTCTGTCGGGAAAAACCAATAGGAGTCCTGAAACACTGGGCTTTGCTTTCCCA